CCCCCCCCCCCCCCCCCCCCCTCCTTACATCCAATTCTTTATGTTCCTCTACTGTTGTTTTTTGTAGACGCCACCCGTGAAAAACATTGTAAAACAGAAGATCCCCACCGTCGCCGATCATATGTGGGTCCCTAGCAAATTTTCTCACATGTTGATGAAGGGTAAATTGACGTGGCCATTTACCATTGGTTTCAACTCGTACATTAATGATAAGTAACCGCAGAGAATCTCAACAGACCACAGTCACTTCCAGCAATCCGAGCGTTACCCATCTGAAACCAAGAACACAAATTTAAAATAATAAAAATAAATAAAAAAGAAGAAGAAGAAGATCGAGATACTCTCTTTCCAATGGAGAGTGTAATTCTGCCCTGCAAACCAATATCTCTAACAGTTTTTGAATTACCATCAAAAGCCCAAAAACGCACAATTTCTTTCAACAATGTCCACCAACCAGTGTCCACAAAACCAGACCCAAGAATGACAGACGCCCATTTGAACTACCTCTGCAGAAAACAACGTATCAACGAAGCCATAAACGTTCTTGACTCCATTGCCCAATGTGGGTTCAAGGTAAGACCCAAAACCTTCACACGCTTGATTCAGTCGTGCATTGATTCAAATTCAATCCATTTAGGCCGTGAACTTCACCAACATATTCATTTGCTTGAAGCAGTAAACCCATTTATTGAGACTAAATTGGTTTCCATGTATGGAAAATGTGGGTCTCTGGAAGATGCATATCAAGTGTTTGATAAGATGCGTGAGAGGAATTTGTACACTTGGTCGGCCATGATTGGTGCTTATTCAAGAGAGAGAAAGTGGAGGAAAGTGGTGGAACTTTTTTGTTCCATGATGGAGGATGGAACTGTTCCTGATTATTTCTTGTTTTCTAAGATATTACAGGCTTGCGGGAATTGTGGGGATATTGAGACCGGGAAATTAATACATTCGATACTGGTTAAATGTGGGATTAACTGTGAAATTCGCGTTGATAATTCAATTTTGGCATTGTATGCAAAATGTGGGAAGTTGAGTTCGGTAAAGAGATTTTTTGAGAATATGGGAAAAAGGGATAGAGTATCTTGGAATTCGGTTATACTGGGGTATTGTCAGAAGGGTGAAATTGCAGAGGCATGGCGGTTGTTTGAATTGATGCGCGAAGAAGGGATTGAACCGGGTTTGGTGACTTGGAATACCCTGATTTCGAGTTATAATCAGTTGGGGAGGTGTGATGTTGCAATGGAAAGAGTTAAGGAAATGGAAAGGTTTGGTTTAACTCCTGATGTTTTTACTTGGACTTCTATGATTTCAGGGTTTGCTCTAAATAGTAGGAGATTTCAGGCTTTGGAATTGTTTAGGCAGATGATTTTGGCGGGTGTTCAACCAAATGCCGTTACACTTACGAGTTCAATCTCTGCTTGTTCGTCTCTTCAAGCTATAAGGAAGGGGAAGGAGCTCCATTCAGTTGCAATTAAGATTGGATTTGGCGAAGATGTGCTAGTTGGGAATTCCCTCATTGACATGTATTCCAAGTGTGGGGAGCTTGAAGCTGCTCGGCTGGTCTTTGATATGATCTTGGAGAAAGATGCTTATACTTGGAACACAATGATTGGAGGTTATTGGCAAGCTGGCTACTGTGGCAGAGCCCATGATGTCTTCATGAAAATGCGAGAATCCGATGTACCCCCTAATGTCATCACATGGAATGTCATGATCAGTGGATACATACAAAATGGAGATGAGGAGCAGGCAATGGATCTTTTCCAGAGGATGGAAAAGGATGGGATCATTAAGCGGAATACTGCATCCTGGAATGCTCTTATTGCTGGCTATTTGCAAAATGGGCACAAAAATAAGGCATTGTGGATATTTAGGCAAATGCAGTCTTTCTCTATTAAACCCAATTCTATTACTATTTTGAGTATCTTACCTGCTTGTGCGAATCTAGTGGCAGCGAAAAAGGTGAAAGAGATCCATGGTTGTGTATTGCGCAGAAATTTAGAATCTGAACTGCCAGTTGCAAATTCTCTAATAGATACTTATGCCAAGTCAGGGAATATAGTATATTCCAAAGCCTTATTTGATGGAATATCTACCAAAGATATTATCACGTGGAACACTCTGATCACTGGTGCTGTTTTACATGGTTGTTGCCATGATGCACTTGAGCTCTTTGATCAGATGCGGAAAGAGGGGTTCACACCGAACAGAGGTACCTTTGTTAGTATCATCTCTGCATATGGTATCGCTAAGTTGGTTGATGAGGGGAAGCAAGTTTTCTCTAGCATGACTGAAGATTATCGTATTTTACCAGGTTTAGAGCATTACCTAGCCATGATAAATTTATTTTGTCGGTCGGGTAGGCTTGAAGAAGCAATCAAGTACATTGAAGATATGGAAATAGAGCCTGATTCCTCCGTCTGGGCTGCCTTTCTTACTGCCTGTCGGATTCATGGGAATGTTAGATTGGCAGTCCAAGCAGGGGAACGATTACTTGAACTGGAACCAGGGAATGCCTTGGTCCAGTTGCTCCTTTTACAGGCATATGCAATATGTGGTATAGCTGAGGATTCTGTTAAAGTGAAAAAGCCTGGAAAATGGATTGACACTAAAGAAGCACTGGGATTGAGCTGGATGGAAGTTGAAAACACGGTGCATACATTTGTCGCTGGTGATCAGTGTCAAAAAAATATTGAAGGCTTATATTCCTGGATTAAATCAATAAAGAGGAAAAACAAGAGTTCTGATCATTATGTTGGGCTTTGCATTGAGGAAGAGGAGAAGGAAGAAATTAGTGGGGTTCATAGTGAAAAACTTGCCCTTGGTTTTGCCCTCGTAGACTCTTCCAAAGCATCACAATGCATACGAATTGTGAAGAATTTAAGAATGTGTGGAGACTGCCATAGGACAGCCAAATTTGTTTCTAAGACACATGGTTGTGAGATATACTTAAGCGACTCAAAGTGCTTGCACCATTTTAAAGATGGCGGCTGTTCTTGTGGTGATTATTGGTAGATAGAAAATAATAGTAGCACATTTTGTGGTTGTTAGAAGTGTTTTTGCACTTGAAAATATGGAGACTTGTTTGCAGGACCGAAGTGTTGGCCAAGCTATGGTGGGTTCTGCTAGAATCGTATGTGATAAAATTCACAAAGTTTCTGTGGGCACTCCTCTTTTGTAAATTAGATTAGCTCTTGGACATTGTATATTTGTAATACCACAGGAATTTATCGAGAATTCTTAAATCTACTTTAGGTAGTCCAGCCCATGGTGAAAGATCCTGCTCCATAGGGGGTAGGTCGATTTGGCGGGGATGGTGGGAAGCAATGGATGATGGAGTATTTACCGGGATTCAGCAGGTCATTTTGGCTAGAGCAGAGGCCATTTTTCTCCATAAAAATTGAGTATGATCGAGATGGGGTAATATGTTTGGTCTCCAAAACGTGTAGGTAAACATGGACAAGCAACACACCAGGTAACATTATCATCCTAATTGATTCTCCTTCGTCTGATATAGTATTTACTGGGTTTCCAACAGTTTGACATTGTATTAGTTATTTATTCAGGTATACTTCGAGTACCTCGATCAAGTGTTAACTTGCATGAGTATAGATACTATGGTCCTAACAGCAAAGATGGAAGTGTGATCAGTATGGTGAGAAGTTAGGAACATATTTTACTTTAACCAGAATGGAGGAGAAGGTTGTTGGCTTCCATGCAAGGAGTAGCATACCCTTGGATGCCATTGTAGTCCACATGCATCAGTGGTTGGGAAATCAAAGATCATTGAAGCCCTCGTCTGTCATGAAAACTCTCTACTTGTTCTATTACTTTGCAATCAGGACAGCAATCAGTATATGTATTTGTATGTTTATGGACTTCAAATGTTCCAAATCTTTTGTTTCTCTCTGTAGGTGAGGCAATGTATTCCCTTAGATTGTGGGTGTCATTAGCGAGACTTTATCTCCTAATCTCTCATTTAGCAATGTCACAAGCTGTTATTGGACTAAAAATCCCAGTGGTTATTTGTTTTTTGGGGAAAAAACCCAGGTGGTTAGTGGTAACATTATCAAGATTCTAGAGATGAGTCCAAGTGAAGAGTTAGTTGTAGCTGTCTGATTCCAAGGCATAAACTATAGGGGAAGGAGGAGGATGCCAATGGGCCCTTCATTCTCCATCATGATGTGGAGACTGATCATAACAGCAGCCTGGTACTGTTATACTCTAACAATGGCCCTAAGGTTTTTGCTGGATTTTATTCCTGTGGCCTACACATTTGCATGGAAAAAGATAACACAGTTTGGTGACCCATCAAATTTTGTTTAGAATTTGTAACTTTCAGATATTGTTTGTAAGATAGATGGACATGTTTATAACATGTTCACAAACAACAATTTTGTACGTGAATGCCACCATTGTCAATAATGCATAGTTTGTACCATTTTTCGTTTGCCATGTCTCTCAGGGTAACAAGGTGAAAATATATTTTGTAACTTTTTTTTTTCTTTTAGGACGCCAAAATTCCCGTTTGAGTTGGGTGTGACACCGTATACAGCCAGAAATTGAAACTCTAGGAGGAATTTTTATAAATACCGAATGAGCTTTAGTACAAGATAAGCACTTCTTTCTTTGCAATCAATTTGGTTGATCTCAAAGCCCTTATTGACTTAAGAATCGGAGTAGCTCTGGTTGGTCAACCTTGACCCTTGACTGCTTGACAGTTTGTTGGTATTTTATAAGGAGAAGGTGCAACCAGATTCATTTTGTTAATACAAGAATTTGTCTTCGTTTCGGATTTATCAACATGGTGAGATGATAAAGGCAGATTTACAGAAGAGTTCGAGAGGGGAAAAGGATATACTTTATTGAGAAACCCCACATTGTTAAGTAAACAGAGGAAGGTCGGCTAGAAATATTCTAGATACTTTGTTTGATGGGTAGACAAAGTCACCAAGCTATCTAAGTCAAACAGGCACATACCAAACCAAGGGTGGCAACTGTACATGGCCGGATTGACATGTACAATTACATGTGTCAAAATATGACACGATTTTTTAACACAACATAAAATTAGAGGATTTATGATCTTCTTTAAGTCATTTATGTTTCGTAAACGAGTAGATCTGACACGATATGATTAATAAATGAATTTGGTATAAGAGAAACCAATCAAAAAAATTACATGATATAACTCATTTATATATATATATCGGTTATACACAGTTCATGCACAATACAAACTAGATATGACACGACTCGTTAGAAATGATTCAATAAACGAATCGAGTATAGATGAAATGTTTTTTTATACAAACTCGCCTCACTTGACACAATTGACATACTTATGTATAATCTTGAAGTAAAAAAACATAATCTAAGGTGCGTAGGCTCTAAGATATACACTAGCCTGTGAATCAATAACTCGAAGACAAACTCATTTTCTCTCGACTAAATCCGTAATGGCTAGGTCCCCAGAAACTATGTTTGATATGCTCCAAGCAAAATCAATTAAAAGACTATCTAATTCTATTACAATTCATACAAATTTTGAGAGTTATTTGTATTTAATACTAATCCGATCCTTTATTACACGTGTTAGTGGATTGATTATTTTCGAATTTGTAATAACGAATCATGTAATGGTCCATGTTAGCTTTGACCCGTTGATACGATCCCGACACAAATAATTATAATTTTGACAGGATTATTAAATATGCATAATAAATATTATAGACTAACATTTAATACTCAAAATATACTAAATAGATTTTTTTTTATCGATCTTGATACGAATACAATACAAATAACACGACATATAAGTCACACAAACGCTGCACCATTAACATCCCTTATCCATGCAGCTGGCCATCCCTACCACAATGTATGTACCTTGATTGGTTCCCAGAAAAAATCATAGAAAAGGAAACAAAAATTATTGTTAAAGCACTTTCCTTTCTTATTTAAACATCCACACTGTTGTAACTTATAATAAAATCCCATTGATATCCATTGCTATTGGACATAACAGATCATGCAAGTGGATTTGCAAGTACAGCTACTGGTTTCTTTTAAATATAAAAGTTAGACCAGACAATGGTCTGTCCCCCTAAATATAATCTTTGAAAAATACAACACAATTTAAATGAAATTCAAAAATTACAACTTAAATGTATATCATCTCTTGGATGAGTGAGTTCTACTGAAAAAATTAATAAGACTTACTCATTAAAAATATTATATGCATTTAGATTGTTATTTTTTGAGTTCTATTTGAATTGTGTATGATTACTTTCGGTGCAAGCTAGGGTTATGGGGGTTGTTTAGTAAGGGGGTATTGGAAAAATAGTCCAAAGCTCCCCTAAATCTCATGTTTATGTGAAAAATTCAGTTTCGAATTTTCAAACTCTGAATGAAAATTAAACTCATGATCATGAGTTTTGTCAAACTTAGGGGAGAGGTGAGTTTAGAAAGATGGGGAAGAGGTTAAGGATCTAAAAAATAATTGTACCCGTTAACTTATGTATGAGTTGGATTGATTAAAGATAAAATAGTTATTTACATGACAAATAGTTGTTAATAATTATGATATATCCGTGAGTCCTACATGTTTATATATTGTATACCAAAGATAGGTATAGACCTGATTGAATATTGAATCCTATTTTCGCAAACAAGGGGTTTGAGTTTGAAATGGTTTGGAGAAGTCAATCCAAATCCTTCTCAAAATTCATTTAAACGAGCCCTCTATTTAGAGTCAGGTCATGACAAAGGTCAAAGAGTTGTCAAGTTTTAAATTCAGAATGTCTAAATTTACAGTTTATTTCTGTCTTTAATGGACTACCCGTTGAGGTTTATAGTTTCTATTAAACAACTTAAAGCAAAGGTAATGTTTTTACCTAGTTATTACCTAGTTGCTGAATCCACATTCATTGCTTTTGTGGTCCAACAAGGGGTGTCACAAACGGTAGAGTTTAAATTTCACTGGTCGCACTAAAGTTGGGTTTTACGTTACACCTTTGAGTCCAAAGAACATGCGAATAGGATGATTTTTTCGTTACCCAAAAGAGAAAGTAATGTTCCGGTTAAAGATAATAGTAGTATCATAATTGTCAAGTTGGGTTCGGTCCTTATAGAAAGTCAATTCATTAAATTTGTATTGGATTTTGTCCCTGAATATTTCATGGTTTAAATATACATTCAAAAGAAAAAGATCGAATATATTACAAACATAATCCAAGAAATCATGGTCCAACACATAATTACAATGTTGTTGATCACAACAGTACCCATGTTGTGAAAATGACTCAAGGAATCAGTCGAAAAGATATTTGAATTTTGTGTGTTGGAGCTATCAATCATTTGAACAGAAGAACACAAACTTGATTAATTCGGATACGAATATTACACGAAAATAAACAAGTCAATTCGTAATTCGACACGACACAATTAATTAAATGAGTTGAGTTAGGTGTGACTAATGTTCGACACAAATCCCGTGATGACTCAGCACGACTCGATTGTCTCCCATAATCTTAGCCAACACAAAAAAAAAATTAGTAATTTTTATTTTCCATTAATCCAATTAAACACAAAGGAAGTAAAATTTATCATTCTTACTTTTCTTCCTTGAAGGATAGAAAGTGTATCTCTCCCACTTTTCATCCTTCCTACTTTTCATCATTCCGTTTGGTAGTTATGCTCTGTTTGATAGGAATGATGAAAAGTAGGAAATATGAAAAATAAGAAGGATACACTTTCTATTCTTTAAGGATGGAAAGTAAGAATGATACAATTTCCTTCTTTTTGTGTTTGGTTGGATGAATGGAAAATAAAAATGACAAATTTTTTTTTAAATTTTTTTCGTCCAATATTAGGGGTGACAATCGAGTCGTGTCGTGTTAAATTCGTGTTAAGTCATAAAATTATGAGCCTTTTATATTTCTTGTTCGCGTGTCAGGTCATTTTCAAGTTCGTGTCGAGTTATAATCAAGTTCGTGTCATAAAATTTGTGTTGAGTTCGAATCGTGTCATCGTATTGAATTGAAAATTTTCAACCCTAATTAAGATGAAAAAAATATTTTTTTTTAATTTAAAATTTTTATTTTTTAAATTTATTTATTTTTAAATTTTTTTTAAATATATATATAAATACATATTTTATCATTATATTTTTATATAAAATTAATGTATATATAATATATAGACAAATAAGATACACCTCAACACAAATAATTAATTTTTCATCTACTTTTTCATCTTTTCTATTTTTCTTCCTTACCAAAAATGATGTTTTATTTATCTTTTTAATTTTTCATTCTTCCAATTTTTCATCATACCAAACGGAGCATTAGAATAGACATAGAATGAGAAAAGCATTTGTTTGTAGAAGAAGGAAACGAAGAAAACAAACGTTAAACTGAGACTGCTGACTCTGTTTGTTTTTTATGGTGTCTTTCAACATTATGCAAATTTGTGATGACGAGTAAATGAAAGGAACAATATTGGAATTGTTGGGATCTAAGCTACTAGACTCGAGTGAATGATACTGAGGATTGGCGGGGAGTTGGGGAATTAACATAGTAGAAATATAATGGTTCACCAACTCGGGAGCTCGGCTAATCCACTATTTAATGGAGACTCTTGCTCCTTGTCTTTCAATAATAATGATTGCAAGAGTACAATGACTAATTTTTGCCTCTAGAGTTCTTTTTTCTCCTTGGGGGCGTTACATAGTATTTATAGGGCTGTTCCTTATTCAGTGGGATCTTAGCCGAGATTTTTGCCCTTACTTCGTGGGATTCTCCCTAATTCTTGGAGAATATCTTGGTTGGTTGAGATTCGGTGTCTTGATTATAACTTCCTAACGCTTTTAGGAAGCTCTCGTGATCTTCCAGCTGTTGTTTTGGTTGTTATCGCCCTTGCTTATCTCGAAGGGACCTCCAGCTCTACTCTTCCGAATTCTGTTCGTCTAATCTGACCTCCTGGGCTGAGCTGATCTCCTGAGCTAGCGTTTGGGATTTATTTTGAGGTATCATCAGTTGCCCCCCCAGCCCTTGGCCCAAGCGAGCTTGGGCATGGG